TATTTCTTCATGTATTTAATATATTACTTTTAACAACATTGATTAAATTCTTTTAATGATTATGATGTAACTAATATATCATGATGTATGTAAATTACAACTTTTTGATGATGTTGCAATGTTGTCGAAAACTAAATTGGAAGACATTTAGAGTTAATGGAAAAAATTCTTTTTGGAAAAATTTAGAGATGGATCATGATTTTTCATGTAACTAACAGGTAAACATTTCAACTGAGTTGTATTGTTAAATTTCATTACTTAAACTATATTAATATTATGTTATATAATTATTTTAATATTTTAAATATGTTTATTATATAATTTTGATATTATTTAATAATTATATGAACTCTATTTTATTTATGAGACATGATTTGTAATTATTATTTTAATTAGTGATATATAGGTAATTTTTATGAAATGTATTTTGTTAATAATTGTGTTTATGTTATTTAATTAAAGGGAAGGGATATGTTTTAATTATATTATTTTATGAGAAAGGAAGGAATGATGTAGTAATCTTTTGGTAATTATTATTATTATTATTATTATTTTATTAATTGAGAAAAGGGAGTTAATTAGAGAAGTTATCAAAAGTTACAGAGTCATTTTTCACGTATTTACTTTTAAGCTAATTTCCTTCTTACGTCTTTTGAAGAATAAGGAGAACCTAGAGAAGATGAACAATCAGATTTTATTGAGCTTCGATTTCTGGTCATCAAGGTAAGGGGAGTAAGAGACCTTACTTGGGGGTGTGGGAATATATGTTGGGTAGTCAAATTGACCCTCAATCTCTTACCTGATGCATGCCTATAGGAATAGGCAAATTGTGAAAGTTTTCTGTTTGAATGTTTGATGTTTCTGTTGTGTTCCTTGATGAATGCTGAACATGAATGTGTGTTTAGTTTTGAAATTGGATATGTTTGATAGCAAGATTAGACCCAATCCTTTGACTGTTGTATGCCTATGGAAACATACATTTTATGAATGTTTTCTATTTTATTTTTTGACTGTTCTATTGCGTTCCTTGTATGATTCTGAGTATGAATATGTGTTTAATTTTGATATTGGATATGTTTGATAGTAGAATTGGCCCCCCAATTCCTTGTTTGATGTATGCTTCTAGGAACAAACAAAATATGAAAGTTTTCGGTTTGGATGTATGATGCTTCTTATGTGTTCCTTGTTGGATGTTATTCATGAATATGTATTTAATTTTGAAAATAGATAAGTTTTGATATGAACTAGAGTGCTCTGTGAGTTCTTGTGGGAAACCTTATGAGGAACAATGAGGATGTAACATCCCAAATTTTATACAATAGTTAATTATTATTTTTTATATTTATGAAAATTATTTTTCTATAGATATTAATTAATAAAAAAATTATTATTTTATTATTTAAAAAAATTATTATTTTATTATTAAAAAAAATTAAATTTGTGTAGAAAAATCTGCTCCCTGAAAAAAATTTGCTGCCCACCTTATCCTCTTATCCCTTAATTAATAAACTTTATCTCTAAGTAACTAAACTGTAAAGAGACTTTGAAATCAAACTAAAATACACAAACTTTCCATTAAAAACTAACTATGTAATCATTAAAATTGATACTATAAATAGGCTTGAACATGGAGTGAAAATGTGAACACAAGTTTACTGAGAAAAAAAAATAGTGAGAAGCAAGAGAAAAGAGAGAGAGAAAGAAAGAGAAAGAAAGAGGGAAAGAGAGGAAAAATGAGTAGGAAAAGGATCTTAAAGTTTTTACGCAGATAAACCGATGTTCTAAGGTAAGGGGGAGGAGAACTTTACCTCTTTAAAATTTTATATACTACTATGTTTATTTATTTATGTTATTTTTTTATGTATATTTATATAGTGAGGTGTCCCTAACCTCATTTATTTGCTTAACCTATGATTATTTTTATCCATAATAATTATTAAGGTG